ACAGGGCATAAATGAACAGGCTCAAGAGTATTCAAATCACACTATGCTTTATACACAATAGCCAACCTACCCCTCAAACAGGACACCACATTGCCAAATCATAGCACAGCTAAGGCTGAGCCCAGCACAAAACCACCTTTCCTCTGTACAGGACTGTAGGATACAAAGTGCAAATATCTGGATTCCAATCCCCACTCCGGGGCTGGGGGTGTATCTCAGTGATAGACTGCGTGCTTAGCATACAGGAGGCCCTGGGTTCAACCTCCAGCACCCAAGAACAAGAAAACAAATTCCACCTCTGCCACTCCCTATCTCTTTGATCTTGGGAAGCCACTTCTTATTAAGTGGCAATATCAGGGAAATTAATTAGAATCAACTGTGTGTCCTTCCTATCATTACGTTTGCTGCTTTAGCTAACCTCGCCACCCAACCTGGCCTATCATCATCCAAACCCTTCCTGCGTAAAGCTCTATGCTGATGGCTAAGGAGGACACAGAGATGAGAGGCCCAGTCCCTGGTCTCCACCAGGCATTGGTAAATGCCCTGCACTGGAAGGCTTCCCAGGAGGGATCCTCTGCAGGATGCACATGGAGCACTGTAGTCTACGCTGGGTGTGCTTCACCTAACCAGAAGCCTCCATGAACTTCTCCAAAGGTGTCACTGTGGCCATGTGAAAACTGTTAAGACTTAAACACTGGCAATTCAAAGGCTAGAAGCTCTTCAGTCTCCTTGTTAAGTGCAAACTTAGAATACACATGAGCATATTAGGTACAGAACTCTGAAAGAAAAGAGATGAACAGGGTAGCTGTCCATAGACACACACCTACTCCGGACAGCTGCTCCCAACTCACCAACCAAATCACGATGGGGCCCCACGTCCTTAGAGTTCCAATTCCAAGACACAGGACTTGGCCAGTTTGTGAAGCCTTCGTGATGTTTTGTTGTGAAGACCACATACCTGTGAATGTCAAAACCAAATGAGCAAAGGAATTGGCCAACAGGTCACAAGCATGAACTTGCCCAGCCTGCCTGTGGCTTTTAAACTGGTCAGGAGAACTTGACCACAGGAATCGTACTGGGATGGGTGACTAAACTAGTGATACCCGGATGTTGCTGCGGTCACAACACCCTTGGGTATTATTCCAGGACTGAAGCACAGCTGACAAATCAGAGTCTTTGTCTCCAGCCAAGGAGGAGGCCCAGAGGGAGGAGAGGAGTAAGAAAAAAAAAAAAAAAAGTATACCTCAGCTCTCAGATTCTTCAACCCTTCTGGGTATGAACAATTAGCTTTATTTAACCCTTTGCCCTAAAGGAGAAGGGTCTCTATTGGCAATGGCAGATGGGAGAAATGTAAGCTGTATGTTTTAGCAAGCCTATAGAACTTCTTATGTATAGAGGTAACAAAGACCCAAAGGGCCAGGGAAAAGGGGCAAGTATCGAAACAACCAAGTGATTCAGTATTTCATTTACTTTTATGGCAGAAAAATAGATAATGCTATCACACAATGCATCACTGGAACTCCTGGACTTTGTAGGCCAGATAGTGTTTTAGGCTCATGAGCCACATTCCTCTGTACGCATTCTTCTCTTCTTCTATTACAGTCCTTTGCAAATGTGAAAACCATTCTCACTTTCTCGGCCTTAACAAAAAGTAGGCAAAGGACCATTCCGTCTGGCCAGTTTGCAGACCCCTGATGCAGTGGAAAAAGTGTTTACCCTGTAGTCCTAAGGTTTGCAGTCTAGGACATTAGTCCCCTTCCTCTGTCTCTGAGCTACTCACCTTATCCTAGGGGGTTTGGAAAGAGGCTGTCTCCAGATGTTAACTTTATTGTTGTTGTTGTAAATCATGGGTATCTAGCACTGCCAGAAGACAGATTACACTGGCTCTGCTTAAAGCCTTTTATTCCCATACCTTTATTTGGAAACATTAAATGCCAATTGTAATTTCCTTTTAGTATAAGAAAACCAAAAGAGAAACTGAAGCATGGCAGATGACTCAGGAGGGGAGATTGGTCTAAGCCAGGACAGAGGAACCTCGCAGCTTTGGCCTTACTCTATTCAACCCACTTCCCTCTCTCGGCAGTCAAAAGCAGAAACTATTTCCAGAAGGTAGGGAAGCCACTTCCCGACTTAGCCTGGGTCCACTCAGGGGCCCTCAAGGCTTACTTCTTCAGGATGGCCCTGCCTTCAACAAAGAAATGGATCCTCCACCCCTTTCCCACATAGGGGCTCTCCAAACTTCCAGTTCTCTGAACCAGTCCACCGCAAGCTCCAACAGGTTTTCAACACAATTCAGACCATTTGGAGCATTTTCTATGAACAAGGTACTGAGAAGAGCTGAAGAGGGAGAATCCATGCAGCATCCCAAATACACTACACGCTGAGGAGCTGGGCAGCAGACTCCCTTCTCTCTTTCCACCTTAGAGACATTAAACCAACCCGTGCAGTTTCCTTCTGTCACCATCCAAGGAGGCTGCAGGGAGGCTGAAGTTCACAATGGAACTAGGACCTGATCCAGACCACTGATTTAGAATCCCAGTTGTCTTCCGGATCTGGAAGGGGCGTTAGGTACCGACCCCCCTTTGGATAATACAGGTGTAGATACCGAGAGCTTTCCAGACCATCCGGCCTGAAATCTTTTATTTTTAAATCCTCAACCACAAGCACCTTCTCCTTGGGATCAGGTGTGCCACGTTCAATCCTGCATCCAAAACACAAGACCTGAGGTACCTTGAGGTCAGGCAGGCCCTGGGCAGGCGGCCCGACCCGCCACCTCCTGCTGCCCGGGTCAGCCCCGCACTCACTTGGCCCCCGAGGCCATAAAGAGGTCGGCCCACTTTTCCGGTTGGAAGAAGCGCGCTGTGAACTGCGGTCCGAACTCGGGGTAGCTGAAGCCGGGCGGGTAGTTCTCGTTCATGAAGCGCCGGTACTGGGGCAGTCCCTCACCCTGCCAGTGCCACCAGAACCACTCGCTGCCCCAGGCCGGCACCGAGTACACGCCCCAGTGCACAAACACCCCGAACTTGGCCTCATCGAACCAGACCGGCAGCGGCCGGGAGTCCAGGCTCTGCCAGTCGGGGGTGTAGCGACGCGCACTGCCCCAGCGCGACGACTTGGCCACTTCGAGCAGTAGCAGCGGCAGCAGCAGCAGTGCGGCGACACGGAACCGCCACTTCTCCGCCACCTCCGGCATCGCTGCTGGAGCACCCTTACCGACCCCCCTTAACGCGCAGAAGCTGACGAGCGGCCCCACCCCTCTGACTAACGATTGGCTCGGAAAGGAAAAGGGGCGGGCCGACCCAGACGGGCTGTTGAGCCGCTTCCTCCACGGATCGCCCGTTCCTCGAGCGCCCCCTGGCGGTCAAAGGGTGAAAGACGCAAGCAGGTAGGTGTTGAGCTCGCTCCGCTGATGGAAGAATGACAGCTTTCCCCCCAGGGGTTTCACTGCGAGGTTAAATCATGGAGTTTGGGAAAGCTTAGGGGAAAAGTGGGAGTAATTCACTTTGCTGCGGGTAATCTGGCAAGGGTAGGGGAGTCCGATCTTGAGTTCTGTTTAGTGGGCAAATGGGAACCATAGGGGGCTTTTGAGCTGTATTTCAAAGAGAAGCCTTGAGAACATACCAGATTGGAGAGGTGTTGAAACAGCCCTGGCAGAAAAAAACGAAGTAGAGGGATGATAGAAAGAAGCATTATGCAGAGAGCAGGCTCTGCCCTGTCCAGAGTTTCTCCATAGTTTTCAGGCCATGCCTAAACCTGAGTTACCCCATTTTGTAAAGCAGTAGTTTGCCATCAACTACTCCTAAGTGCTGAGGTGGAACGACTCTACACCTTGTTTGTACAAGTAAACAACCACCGTCATCCCAGCACAACCCAAGAGCGAATGCTGGTAAATCAGTGTGCTAAAGAAAATGACCACCTGTGGACTCAGTGAATTAATCAGAAGCACAAGGATGCATGGGCATACCCAACTCGAATTGGAAAAAACAGACCACTGAATGCAACAGTGACCTCGCTCAAGGTCCACAAAAGGAGGAGTACCAGGAGACTGGACAGAGCAGCACCCTGACCCCGTCACGTGGTCACTCCTCAAGAGCTTTGCCCAGGAAAATCGCCACAGCGATAAAAATTCAAATCTCTGTCTTTGGGCTTTAGCAGAATGGGGTTTCTTCTCCCTGGGATGACCAGGCACTGCCTCAAACTGACACTCCAAGATGACACCCTGAAACTGCCTTCCCTCTGGATCTTTGCCTAGACTAGAATAAGTTCCTGTGCTTTGACAGCTCTGTGCCCTGAAAGAGTTCTTCTGCCGATTCATAATCTTCTCTGACAACCCACAGTGACAGTTTGCTTTTGTGTCTGCTCTCCAGCTTCCTGAACTGCTGTGGTTGCTTTAACCCTTTCTTAGCCTTTCTGTGAACACACACACATACGGTGATGTGTGACTTGAGTGTTATAGATACTAGAAATTAAGGCTGGAATAGAAGAACCTGTGTTTGTCTGGGTTATGACTACCAGGTGACCCGCAGGTTTTC